ATGGACATGGCGCCTAACCGTGACAAGCTTAGGGCCATGGTTCAGAAAGACAGTGAATCGTTCAAAGAGTATGCACAGAGATGGCGCGAAGTCGCTGCACAAGTGATTCCTCCCATGGAAGAGAAAGAAATGACTAAAATTTTTCTGAAGATGCTAGGTGCTTTCTACTACGAAAGAATGGTAGCAAGTGCCCCAAGTGATTTTACAGAGACGATAGGAATGGGTGTCCGCCTAGAAGAGGCAGTAAGAGAAGGCCGTTTGACAAAGGGTGAAGGATATGGAGGTGTGAAGAAGAAATCTTATGGGTTTACCAAGAAGAAAGAAGGGGATACAAATGTTGTTATGCAAGAGAGAAGGGTAAACGCTCCTAGAAATAATTATCAGCGTCATTAGCAAGTCCCCTCAGTTACTCCTGTTATGAATGCCGCTCTGACTGCCGTTTCTTATCAGAGACTGTCCCAGTAGGGTAATCGAGGGTATAATCAGAGAAGGGAGAACTATGACCCTATTCCCATGAGCTATGCAGAGATACTACTAGAATTGATTCAGAAGAAGTTGGTCCAGACACGACTACCTCCAGTTGTACCATCATTGCCTTGGTATTACACAGCAGACCAGACGTGTGCCTTTCATCAGGGAGCACCAAGGCATAGTATTGAGAATTGTTATCCTTTGAGGACTGAAGTGAAAAGGTTGGTGAAGTCTGGAATTTTATCTTTCAAAGACGTGGGACCTAATGTGAAAGACAATCCTCTACCCAAGCACGGGGGAGTGAATGCTGTAAATATGGTGGCCAGTTGTCAAGGCGACTTTCAAAATTTTGACATTAATCTGGTTAGAGGAGATTCGGTGAAGATGCTCGTAGACCTCTATGAATTTAGTTATTATACGCATGACCACGCCGGTTGTGCTATTTGCAGTACAGATATACAGGGTTGCGAGAAGATAAAGGCTGATTTACAGGAGATAATGGATGAAAGTTTAATCCATATAATCAGGCCTAGGGCAGAATATGAAGAGGAGGTGAATATGGTTTCTGGATGTCCGGGTAAATTTATAATTTTTGATGTGGATCATTTGAATGAGGATCTCGTGCAGTTGCATGCTACTTTCTGTCGTACTGCTGGTCAGATAGAACACCAATATGGATCTTGCATAGTTTGTTGTTGAAATCCCCAAGGATGTTCTATTGTGAGGGAAGGTGTTCAGTTGCTGTTAGACAATGGAACCATCAAGGTCACAGGTCAGAGAGATGATTATCATGAGATTGATATGGTTGAAGTTTGTTTGATGGAAGAGGAGTCAGAGGAAGAGTATGCCTCCGCAGATAAGTATTTCTCTTCAAACGAAGATTTGTTTGCCGGAAATGACCTTTTGATGGCTGATTGTGTTGAGGAAGGGGTGAATGTCATTGTACCTTGTTTTGGTGCACCCGCTCATCTTGAGGTAGAGTACCATAGAAAACCAGCTGTCACCCCATTGGTAATCAGTCTGCCAGGTCTTGTTCCCTATGAATCAGATAAGGTTGTGCCTTACAAATACAATGCTACAATCTTAGAAGACGGGATAGAGATTCCTATCCAGCCAATGCCAGATGTTAGAAATATAGTTAATAATAGCAGGGTGACCCGTAACGGTCGTGTGTTTGCACCGGTTATTCGAAGAGATGTTGTTGCTGGAAAGAAAATTGCTGAGAACGATGATCCTAAGAAGGCTGCAGGAGAGACTAGTGGAGCTACATTAGAGAAAGAAGTGGATGATATCTTGAAGATAATTAAGATGAGCGACTACAAAATTGTAGATCATCTATTGAAGACTCCTTCCAAGATATCTATCCTAGCTTTGTTGATGAATTCCTCTGCTCATAGAGAATCACTGATGAGAGTACTAGACCAAGCTTTTGTGGAGAATGACATGCCGTTAGATCAATTCAGCAGCGTAATTGGAAACATTACATCATGTAACAACTTGAGTTTCTGCGATGATGAGTTACCAGATGAAGGGAGGAATCACAACCTGGCCCTCCATATATCTTTGAACTACAAGAATGATTCGCTGTCTAATGTGCTAATTGATAACAGATCCGTGTTGAATGTTATACCGAGGAGTACTCTCATGAAGTTAAAGTATCAAGGAGCACCTATGCGCCCGAGTGGCATCATTGTGAAGGCTTTTGATGGGTCGAGGAAATCTGTCATCGGCGAAGTGGATTTGCCCATGCATATAGGACCACATTTGTTCTTGATAACCTTCTAGGTAATGGACATTATTCCCGTATATAGTTGTTTGCTTGGACGGCCATGGATAAACGAAGTAGTGGCTGTCACTTCAACTCTGCATCAGAAGTTAAAGTTTGTACGCGAAGGGAAGGTAGTGATCATAAATGGGGAGCAGGCGTTGTTGATATCCCATCTATCCTCTTTCAGTATTGTAGAAGCGGATGAGGCTGCTGTTGGAACCCAGTTCCAAGCCCTATCTATTGACAATGTAAGGAGGAATGAGAATTCTATGGTTTCCCTGAAGGACGCGCAACAGGTTGTGCGCAATGGTCATAATGCAGTTTGGGGACGACTGGTGGATCCACCCGTGAAAAAAAACAGAATTAGTTTGGTTTTCTCTTCAAAGAATGGCAAAGGCGAAAGTTTGAAGTCAAAGTCTTCTGTGAACAGTTATCATGATGTTTTCCGCAGTGGAGGCTACCTCCATCCAATTGGTTCTGCAATTAATGCTGTTGAAGAGGATGAAGCAGAGCAGGAAGTACCAAATTATGTGACGCATGGAGTCCGAGTTCGAAATTGGGTCACCATTGATGTTCCTTCTTGCATACATATTTCAAAGTAATTTGTTTTGATAATCTGTTTCTTTCTTTTGAAAAGCTTTCACTCTGCCCAAGGTGAAAGTATTGTATGGGCTTATCTGTTTGCTTTGACTGTTAAGATCATTAATAAAAGTTGTCTTTGCTTCCAAAAATATGTCTTTATTTTATGCTTTTTCTTGGGAAATGGTAATCAAATAAAAATAAAAAACCCTTTCAAAATAACTACTGAAAATTAATATGTATGATCACTTGTTATATGTGTCAGTTTCTAAAAGCAATCATAAATCGTATGTGCAGATTAATTAAAAAACCTGTTGAATACAATGACCCTGCACCCTCTCCCAACTTTGATTGTCCTGTGTTTGGAGCTGAAGAAGAAGATTATGATGAGATTCCATAAGAGGTATCACGGTTGCTTGAGCACAAGGAAAATACCATTCAGCCATATAAAGAGCCTTTGGAAGTGATTAATTTGGGTTCAGAAGAAGATCCGAAGGAAGTTATGATTGGAGCATCGTAGCATCCTGATGTAAAGAGCGGGTTGATTGAGCTGTTGAAAGAGTATGTGGATATTTTTTCTTGATCTTATCAATATATTCCCGGTCTAGATACAGACATTGTCGAGCATCATTTGTCGTTGAAGCCGGAGTGTCCACCAGTTAAACAAAAGTTGAGAAGAACCCACCCAGATATGGCAGTAAAGATCAAAGAGGAGGTCCTAAAGTAGATTAATGCTGGTTTTCTTGTGACGTCAGTGTATCCTTAATGGATTTCCAATATTGTCCCAGTACCTAAAAAAGACGGAAAAGTCCACATGTGCGTAGATTATAGAGATCTAAATAAAGCTAGTCCAAAAGATGATTTTCCATTGCCTCACATTGACATGTTAGTGGATAACACAAAAATTCAAAGTATTCTCATTCATGGACGGATTTTCCGGGTATAATCAAATATGAATGGCTCCAGAGGACATGGAAAAAACAACGTTTATCACACCCTGGGGAACATTCTGTTACAGAGTGATGCCATTCAGGTTGAAGAACGTTGGTGCAACGTACCAGAGGGCCATGACAACCCTATTCCATGATCTGATGCACAAGGAAATTGAAGTATATTTTGATGATATGATTGCAAAATCCCAAACTGAAGAAGGGCGTATAAAATATTTGTTGATGTTGTTTCAGCGTTTGAGGAAGTATCGTCTCCGCTTGAATCCAAATAAATGCACCTTCGAAGTTAGATCAGGGAAATTGTTGGGTTTTATTGTTAGCCAGAAAGGAATTGAAGTTGACCCTGATAAAGTCAAAGCAATTCAAGAAATTCTAGTACCAAGAACTGAAAAGCAAGTCAGGGGTTTCCTCGGGCGTTTGAATTATATTTCCAGATTCATTTCCCACATGACTGCAAAGTGTGAACCGATCTTTAAGTTGTTAAAGAAAGATCAAGGTTGTGTGTGGACTGATGACTGCCAAAGGGAATTTGAGAGTATTAAAGAGTATCTGCTTGAACCTCCTATCTTGCTCCCTCCCGTAGAAGGAAGATCGTTGATTATGTATCTAACAGTGTTAGATAAATCCATGGGTTGTATTTTGGGACAACAGGACGAAACAGGGAAGAAAGAGTTCGCCATTTATTATCTCAGCAAAAATTTGACTGATTGTGAGTCGCTGTATTCCATGCTAGAAAAGACGTGTTGTGCTTTGGCCTGGGCGGCAAAGCATTTGCGGCAATAAATGTTGAATCATACAACTTGGTTGATCTCCAAAATTGATCCAATCAAGTATATTTTTGAGAAGCCTGCTCTTACTGGGAGAATTTCCCGCTGGAAGATGTTGTTATCTGAATATGATATTGAGTACCGCGTTTAAAATCAAACTGAACCATAAATAAATTTATATTTTATTCGTTTTTTCCACGTCCATGATATGTTAAATTTTCAAACAATGGATTCTTATACTAGAATTAAATAATTAGTCACTCATATTTTTCTATTTTAGTTTTATATCTAACAAAAATTCAATTATAATGTGGTTAATATAAAATATTCAATCGTAATAAGTATACAAAAACAGTTAAATACCAATTTGAAAAATATCAGTGCCATAATTTTATTAAATTTATTTTGACACGCTCTTACATTTAACATTTAATTTTTGAGCATTATGCTATATTTTTTATAGACTTAACATTTATATACGCAATAACATTTGGTTGCTGATCCCAATGGCTCACAAACTCCGTTACCGTCATACTGCTCATAGCACCATTGTTGACAATCCCAAAGGATACAAACACTAGAAGGACCATAACGGATTGTCTTACATAATTTGTCTGCTTGACATGTCATGGTTACAACTGTGGAAAAAAAGCATAATTAAGTTTTATAAGGTTAACACCCAACAAATAAACATTATTACATACATACACACACATAAGTGTTACAAAAACATATTAAAAACAAAAAACAAAATTTATATACCTGAAAAAATAAAGAAAAGGACAAGAATGGATATGAAAGAAAACTTAGTCATTTTGAATAGCTTCAATTTCAAATGTGTGAATGAGATATATTCTGACTACATGCAAACCTCGAATTTATATACAAACAAAAAAATATAAAATAATTGAAAAGTTGAAAAGTGGATAAATATCTTTTCAGATTTTTCAATATAAAGTTTAAAATGAACCTTTTTAATATTTTAAATTAATGCATATTTAGTAAATATTTTTAATATTTTAAATTAATTTATGTTTAGTATATATTCTTAATATTTTACATTAATACATATTTAGTTAATATTATTAATATTTTATATTAATGCATATTTATTAAAAATTCTAGAAAAGAAAAGATAAATTCAAACAAAATAAATTTTTTCAACAATTTAAGATTGTATATTTGACTAATATATTATTGATTTCATTATAGTTTTGGTCCATCTATTTTATGTCATTCAAAGAATTATTATTTCTATTTTATATTGTTTGTATTTATAACAAAAAATTATTTTCATGAATTTTGTAAACTAGAAAGACTAAAACTGTAATTATACCTATAAATGTTTGAAAATAGAATATATTGGTAAATTTTATACTTTACTATCATGTGTTTATTGTTAAAAGAGATATTTTTTAAAGGAAATTCATTGTTTAGATGAGATATTTTTATTTACAAAATAATACTACGAAAATATCCGTTATGTCGAACTAGTTTATTATTAATATAATTGTTATTATTATTTTTTAACAAAACTTGATATATTCAAAAAAGAACGATAAGTACAAGGGATCGTAAACGATCCAACCCACAAGAAGGCAATTACAACATAAACTCAATAATATGAGATTTTAACCTCTTACAATTCCAAGCTCTAAAGATAATGGTATTCAAATTTTGATCCACAATATTCTTCTGCATCCTCATATTGCCAAATCATTTATCATTTCTATAGCACCACAAGACATAGATTGTTTCAGTTACAACAAGCTTTAAAAAGGTTAAATCTCCAACCCTTCCTATAACACTGTTGCACTATCCAAGGAAGCTCCAAATGCCAACCCTTCGAAACATGGTTCACATGAAGCCAGCTCAAGATATTATGCCAAATAGCCTGCATTTGTGAACATTCAAAAAACAAGTGATCTAAGGTGTCAACCTGCTGACAGAAGCAATAACTAGTGTTAGAAACCATGCCAAATTTTTGAAGCCTCTCCTTCATAGCCAACCTTCAGTGACAAGCAAGCCAAAGAGTTATCAAAGCCCTTCGTCTAGCAGAATTATTCAAGAATAAGTGATTACAAATTGGCTCATGATCATCTTTAGTTAATTCATTATACACAATATTCATCTTGAATTTACCTTGACTATTCATCTGGTTCCAAGTATTTTGAATAGTCGAAATAAGTGATTCCAAATTGGCTCATGATCATCTAGGTCCACCTATTTTATGTAATTCAAAAAAATATTATCTCTATTTTACATTGTTTGAATTTATAATAAAAAATCAATTTATGAGTTTTGAAAAATATAAAGACTAAAACTATAATTATACCTATATATATTTAAAATAGAATATATTGATTACCTGTATACTTTACTATCACGTGTTTATTGATGCGGTGTATTCGCAAGTGTACGAATCACGTCAGAGAAATATAAAAGATTATCGATCCATAGAGTCCAATCGTCAATCTATCGTATCCTATTGTTATGGTGTTTAGCTAAGTCAATATTAAACAAGGAATTGAGCATGCAAGAAAGTAAAGTGCGGCGAAATAAACTTCATATATAATAGCAGGGTTGAATGTAATTCACATAGTCAGGTGATATTCGCAATGCTTCAGAATAGAACTACTTATAGGGAAATATTTTTCTACTAAAGAAAAGAACTAATTTAACAAGAACTGTCGCTTTCTCATAATCAGAACCGAGTTTACTCTCTAATCAGACCTTCTTATCGTCACTTATAAAAAGGTGAGCATTGCGTTAAAGTAATAAACCTATTTTTAAGAAGTAAAGTACTTGACCAAGTTGCAAAGTATTTTGATCTGGAATTTCTAATAAAAGGGGACCTAACTTTAACCCAATAAACGCGTCTGGAAATAGTTTCAAAATTGATTTCTTTAATAATAAAAATTCCTAACTAACCGGACAAAGCACTTTTGCTTCCTTTGACCAGTTAGAACTGACCGAGTTTAACAAAGGGTTAGATGACTTTCGATCTTACCCAACAACAATAAAGTACAGAAAACTCGTATTAAAAACAAAAATAGCCCATAAGCATTTCTATTGACACATTATATGGAATATCGATCTAACTAGATTCCTTACATTCTAGCCCAGTAAGGTTCAGCCTGACATGGGAATGTAAACAGATATGTTAAAATAAATCATGCGAGAAAGTAAATAATTTAAAGTGCGGTACGGGAAATAAACAAAGTAAAAGCAGTGTAGAAAATAAACAAAGTAAAAGCAAGTGCGAGAAATAAACAAAGTAAAAGCAGGTGCGGGAAATAAACAAAGTAAAAGCAGGTGCGGGAAATAAAAAAAGTAAAAGATGGTGCAGGAAATAAAAAAAGTAAAAGTAGGTGCGGGAAATAAACAAAGTAAAAGCAGGTGCCGTAAATATAAATAGAAACCTGCTCCAAATGGGGAAGTTTTAAATTTGGTACTATTGTACCCCAATTTTTGCCCCTAAGATTCCCCTATCATATCATGTCAACTTGATCACAACAAGATCACATTAGGGTTGGTTCTTCTTCCTTTTTCTATCTTCTATCTTTAAGTTTGCTCTTGAGGAATCTCCAAGCACCTTGGTTGTGTATTTTGTATATGTGTTGATTGACTAACTGCTAATCAAAATACAAAAAAATATATTTGTCCTTATCTTTGCACAATTCGTGTTTTGCAGGTACCGAGTCAAAGCATTGACAAATAAGGTTTTCTGAGTTGATTGATCCTGTATTGTGTCAAAAGGAATCTTGTATGGATCCATGAAAGCTTATGTTAAACTCATGAAAGTTGATTGATCCTATATTGTGGCAAAAGACAACATGCATCGACCCATAAAGGTATGTATCGACTCATCTTGATGTGTATAACTGGCATGTGTCGACACATGCATGTATGTATCGACTCATCATGTTTGAATAACTATCATGTGTCTACACATGCATGTATGTATCGACTCATCTTGTTTGTATAACTAGCATGTGTCGACACATAAGTGTTATGTATCGACTCATGCAGTTTTGGTGATTCTGTAATGTGTTGAAATAACAGTATATATCGATGCATAGAGGCATGTATCGACACATGCTATGTTATACAGCTAGGATGTATCAACACATACCACCCATGTATCGACTCATAAGATCAAAATGCACGTGTTTTTTGAAAAAGCCAGCAATTTCAAATGTGTCTCATTTTTTGCTCCAAATTTTTATGCATAATTTGAAATTATATCATTAATTCAAATTTTGCTCTAAGAATCAATTACCAAATTACCACTAATCCCAATCCTAAAACTCTATAAATAGAGACCTCATTTCATTCAAATCATAAGCTTTTGATAGCCAAACTCATCTTGCTAAAAAATCTCTCAATTCTCTCCATCTACCAAATTCACTCAAAGCTCCATTTTCAAAAAGTTAGTAAGCTTTGCAATGAAGCTTACTAATCTTTGAGATAAACCTTCACCCAACAACTTTTCTCCATCAATTCACTACATTCAAGCTTTGGTAATTTATTCTTGTGGTTGAGTTGAGGCAAATTCTGGAAGTTGTTTGATAATTCTCTAATTCTACCTTTGGTAAGTTGGATCATCATCTTTCACAATGTGATCTCTTGTGGATTTCTGGTTTTGATTCATTGAGCACTGTTTTATGATTCCATTGGTGCTATTTTCTCATAATTTGATGGCATTTTCATGCTCAATTGGATCCATGATCATAAGGTGTTTGATGAAAAGTTGGAACAAGAATTTGATCTTTAAAAAGCTATTTTCTACTGATTTTTAACAGGTTGCAATCAATTGTTGTAACATTGCAATTGATTGTCACAGAAAATTGATTTGATAAAAAACTTCACTGATGCAATAAGTTGTTGTTTAAGTAATTGATTGTAACAGTGCCAAAAATACTTTTTCTGCCTTATTTTGGGGCTGTTTTGACTCAAATATTTTTCTGCTCACTCTCTTTGATGGATAATTTGGATTGCAATTTTAAATGTTCAATTTGTCTTTAAACTCAATGGACTTTGTGATGTAGATGAAGTTGGATAAATGTTCATAAATTCAAATCTACCCAAGAATGAATTATTTAATTCATTTTTAGTGCTTTGGATTAATGATATGTTTAGTACTTTAATCCATCTAGAGGAGTGGTTAAATTTAAAGATGAAGGAATTTTGAAATGGTGATCCAAATTAGCTTATCATTCCCCTCCCTCTTCATCTTAGCCCTTTCTTTTTTTAATTGTGCTACATGTTAAGGGATGGTGATCTCTATATCATTTATCCAAACATGAAGTACATAAATTGTTATTGACCGACCTCAAAATAGGTGCGACTTCTACATAAGTCCACTTACGATTGCTTAACATAGCGCTAAATTTTGTCTCGATTCAAATAAATGATCATTCGTGGCCCAAACTTATGATTGCAAGCCTAAGTATGTTAATTTGATCCCTTTGATCCAATAACCTTGAGATTCATTGTGTGGAGGCTTTGGTTCTACCAATCCTCTAATGGATCTACAACACCTTTGGTCAACGCGGATCACTTAAACATCGTTGATCATTAAATGTTACTTGTGAGAATTCCAAAATGGACGATATACTTTACAAAAAGCAAATGCAACTTGTTGTGTGGAGGCTTTGGTTATACCAATCCTCTAATGAGTTCCAAATGCAAGTTTCAAGATGGTCATCCAACTAACCACTAATTTCTAAAAATTGACTTTACTTTATGCTTTTAGTTTTTTATGCTTTATGTACCATTTAATTTAAGCATTTACATTTCATGCTATTTTCA